CCAACACCACGAACACGACCTCCATGCTCAGATGTTTCATGGATAATGTTAAGATATCGTTACGTCCATCCGGAACAATTACACCTTTTTCAGCTTCTTGAACTAGAGAATCCTACAAAATGCAAAAACCACAATTAATCAATCACAAATATAATGATACTTGTAGTATTTTTCATTGTTTACTTACAATTTTTTCAGCAACCTCTTGTGTAGATTTTGATGTGTATTCTCCTCCTTTCTTTTGTCGTGCTCTCTTCCATAACTCATGGCGTGATGGTGGAGATGGACTACCATTATCATCTAATATAGAATTATCTCTCAGTGATGACTTTTCTTTCATAATTTTCTCCTCAAGCAAGCGATACCCTCCATGAGACAATAAGTGTGGGTATACATTCTTAGCCACATTATCCTTACCCTTTTGACTTTTTCCTATTATAAACTCAAAAAGTTATTAATCATTAAATATAATAAAAATATTATGCACACAAAAACATATAACTCCTACTAACCTTAAATTCAGGGGTATCTCGAATCTTGAGAAAATCTTTCTATGCGTCTTCCGTAATAAAGTTATACTTGACATATGAAGGAGGATCATTTTCTATGTGATGATTAATATATTTGTCTGTGAGTTGTGTCTTAAAACCTCTCCATCGCTCTCGCGCATATTTAATCCATTCTTTCTTCAACATATCCTTCTTTGGATCTTTACATTATGGAATAGTGAAATGAGCCTACAAATATAGTATATGTCATATGTTGTTAATTAGTATATGATTATAAAATATAATAAAGTGTTGTATTTAAAATACCTGAATATCAGTCCAAATAGCATTTGTTGCGCCTTCATCTACTTCTTTCCAGTCATGTTTCTAATACTACAGTACTGCCGAGCAAGACATGCTATATAACTCTTAAAATGTGTAGCATTTTTACCAACACTAATACATTCATAGGTTCTTGGATTAAACTCGACTTTTATCTTTTCACCTGTTTGATGAACTTTGTCAATTTGTGTCATGAAAGTGGGACCTCTAACTCTTCTTTTATTGGGGTTACTAGATGAAGAAGGGTTGTCGTTTGAATCACCCATGTATCTGTTTACACAAAATAAAAATAATTAGAAATAAAATTAAGCACAAAATAAAAACAATTAGAAATAACATTAAGCAAAAAATAAAAACAATTAGAAAATAAAGTAACGTGGAATTAACTTATAAAAAAAAATCTTACTAGTCTTCCCATATCCCTTCTTCATGGTCTATGCGAATAGCGTGCACATCATCCCCTTCATTTTCTTCAATGAATGTAGTCACATTTGTTGAGAAATGATGAGTTTCGGAAATATCAAGATTCTCATCATGATTTTCATCACTATCATGGACCTTTCCTTGTAAAACCACTGACCACTTTTTATTAGAAGGATCTGTGACATAAAACACTTGTTTTGATTGAGATGCCATGATGAAAGGTTCGTTCGCATAAGCTAACTTGCTAAGATCAACCAGTGTAACTCCAAATTCATCGATTCTTACACCACTGTTGATATCAATCCATTTGCATTTAAATACAGGAACTTTAAACACAACATAATTAACTTCCCAAATCTCTTCAATCACCCCAAAGTACGATGTAGATTCCATATCCGAGTTTTTATCTTTAGCACTAGAGAAGTGCATGGACTCGGCCACAGTCATTACCCCACTATTTTGTGTGGTACTACGGTCACAGAGATTCTGAGATCGCAAGTTGCGCTGCTTCGCCGAGAAAGAAAAATAGAATCAAATTTCAATAGCAAGGTGATAACTCTATTAAGTTTGATAGGTTAAAGATAAAATGTGTGTTTCTGAGAGGACCATTAACGTTTCTTTCGGAGGTTTCTAAGGACACAATTTCTCTAATGAAAAAAAATGACATATACACAACATGTACTATATTATTAACTCTATACAAAATATATACAATTTATAACTAATTAGACTTAATTAACCTCTCTAAGAATAATAAACTGTTTAGTAATTAAAAAACAGATATGAACAAAGGAATGGATTCACCAAGCCATTGAGTTAGTATCTAGTATAATCTTCTAATTATTTTTATATGTACTTCTAATTTTTTATAATGTATCTCAGTAGCAAGCAAAGCAACAAGAATAGCTTAAAAACTTTTTTGTATATATACCTATTAGAAATCCATAGATATACAATGAAGTTGAACAAAATAGAAAATTTCTTACCGGAATCGTAGTTGGACGGCAGAGGGGGGTTCGAAGACGGCGGCAGGCTGTGACGGCTGGAGATTCGAGGCCGTCTTCGTGCACGGCGGGAGACGGAGGCCTGTGATGTACGTCATCGTGCAGGACGCCGCAGATCTACGAGGAGACGGCGGAGGGCGTTCGTAGGCGGAGACGGACGGACTGTGTATGCGGAGTGGAGGGCAGAGACGGACGGACTGTGTAGCAGTGAGGGTTTTGAGGAGAGAACAATAACAAAATGTACACCAGTGAGGGTTTATTTTTTAAATATATATTATAGTTTTTACATCGGTGGAAATCAATAACCGATGTAATGGTTACGTCACAATCATGTTTTTACATTGGTGCATATCAATAACCGATGTAATGGTTACGTTTTGAGGTTTTTTACATCGGTGGATCGTAAGACCCGATGTAAGGGTTTTCTGGTTTTTTATATCGGTGGATCGCAATGCCCGAGTAAGATTTTGCGTATTTTTTATTTACCAATCTGCCACCTAGTTTTTTATTTACAAAACTGCCACCGTGTTTTTTTTTACAAAACCTTTTATATCGGTGGATTAATTGGCCTGATGTAATAGCCAGCGAAAAATACTTTTTTAATATTTTTATATCATTGCAAATAAATACCTGATATAAAATCTTTTTAATTTTATTTTTTACATCATATATTTTTATAATTGATATAAAGACCTTTTCACAAATGTCATTTTTTTAGTAGTGATCTTTTCTACGTAGCAAGATCTATTAAGAGCATCCACATCCATCATACCCATTTGGGTTCTTTAAATGGGACCCACATAATTTTTTATATTATTTCACACTTCTCAATTTTTTAAACAACTCATCTATAATTCTCAAATATCCATCTAACTCATCAAAAAATCTAAAATGGGTCTCACTACACTCCACAATATATTACATAAAATATAATTAAAAAATTAATTCAAATATATCAAAATACATTAAAAAGACATACCTTCAAAATAAGGTTAAAATAAATATATATATTAAATAAGAAAATACATGATACAAATAATTCATCAAAATTACATTAAAAAAATCATAAATTCAAAAATGCATCACTAATACGAATTATAAGAAAAAGATAAATTTAAAACAATTTTTAATTATTGTCATTCTCATTCCCAAAATGTTGCCATATGTGTTCTATCAAGTCTTGTTGAAGACGCCGATGAATTTGTTTGTCACGAACATCAGATCTTCCATGTAGAAACTCTTAAAAATCAATATTAGAATCATTCGACAATATTGTTGGGTCATTGGTCAAATGATCATAAGAAAAATCAAAATTTCCACCATATGTGGCACGTTCATCTTCAACAATCATGTTTTGTAATATGATGCATGTATTCATTATGCGCTGGAGTGTGTCTAAGTGCCAAGATCGTGTTGGGTTACGTATGATCGCAAATCAGGATTGAAGAACTCCAAATGCTCGTTCAATATCCTTTCTTGCCCCTTCTTGATGTTGGGCAAACAATTTTCTCTTATCACCTTGTGACATCGGGATACTTTTCACAAACGTGGCCCATTCAGGATAAATACCATCTGATAGATAATAGCCCTTCTTACATTCAGTACGATTGATTGTATAATGAATCTCAGGAGCTCGTCCTTGTAGAACATCGTTGAAGATATTTGATTGGTTCAACACATTAATATTGTTGTTTGAACCCGCTACACCAAAGAATGCATGCCAAATCCATAAGTCTTGTGAAGCCACTGCTTCAAGCATAACAGTTCTTTTCCCATGATCACCTTGAACATATTGCCCTTTCAATGAAATTGGACAATTTTTCCATTCCCAATGCATACAATCAATGCTCCCTAACATGCCTGGAAATCCTCGTGCTTCCCCCATTCGCATTAGGCGTTCAATGTCTTCAGCATTGGGCCTTTGCAAATATTGTGCCCCAAAGATGCTGATCACTCCTCTTGTAAACTTATCAACACATTTTAGTGTCGTGGTTTCACCAATTCTCAAATAGTCATCCACACTATCAGCAGATATTCCATAAGCCAACATACAGATAATAGCCGTGCATTTCTGTAATGGAGAAAGACTTGACCTACCAGTTGCATCAACCATCATTCGAAAATACTCATCGCGTTGTCTCAGAGGTTCAACAATACAAAGGAACACATGTTTATGCATTCGGTACCTTCGACGAAACTGCTCATTTGTGTATACAGGAGTTTCTGAAAAATAATCATTGAACAATCGATCATGTCCCTCTTCACAATTCCTCTCTATATTCCTTCTTTGACATCTAGGCCTTTTAGAGCTTGAGGGTTCTTCTTCCATAAACAGCCTCACAAGTTCTTTATTTGTATCATCATTCATAAAATCCATGAACATTTTTGCAATGTGGGAAGGATTAAAAGGATCCATGTGAAAAGAAGTTAGATATAGATGAAGATGATAAAAAGTTATAGAAAATGAAAGAGGTAGTGAATGAAAAGAAGTACTATGAAGCTTAGTATGCATGTTAATACTATTTATAAAATTAGTTTGTAACGGCTAGTTTGAATTTGAATAACGGCTAGTTTGAATTTGAATAATTAAGCACAAAATTCATAATCATACAAAATAATAATAAAATATATAATCATACTAATTAAGAACATAATACATAATCATAATAATCCAAACTACATAATCATACTAATTAAGCACAAAATAATAATCATACTAATTAATTCAAAATACATAATCATACTAATTAATTCCATATTTTTCTATAATCATGTCGCATAATATTTCATGAGCTTGTAGTTGTCTTGCATCCATATTTGATGTATCTTTTGAGAGTATTTGTAGATCATTCATCTTTAATCTTTCCTCAGCAATCTCAGCCTTCTTAATCTTTGCATCAACCTTTTTTCTCTCTATCTCAAGTTTTTCACCCTCAATGTGTGCATAGTCCTGTGCAAACATTGACATCAGATCAATTTTCATTTTTAAGTTATCTTTCAAAGAACCATATTTGACATTGGATGTAGAAGACATTTCCACAAGCTTTTCTTTCTCCTTCCTTTTGGTTGCCTTTTGACCGATTGGACGACCTGAAAAAGTAGGTGATGATAGACCGTATTCAGTGCTTGTTGGTGTTAATGGATTAGAAGGCGAAGAATATGCTCCTGAAGTCGGATTCTTTCTTCTTTTTGTAGAAGCTTCGGATGAACCTGCAATCCATTTAGGTTCATCTTTCAATAATCTCCATGCAGCCTCAAATGTAAACTTTTCACCTTCATCTTGGAAATAGATTTTATATGCAGCTTGCATGATATTGCTCTCAGAACTCTCACTTTGTTGTGTAGACACGGCTTGTTTGTAGCATCCAACAAACTTTTGAACAAATGGATTAATTTTGTGCCATCGCCCTTTTAGTTGCGCCGGTTTCCTTTCTTTATAATTAATGTCACGATGCTTGTTGTAAGCTTCGCCGATCCTCTTCCAAAAACTATCTCCTTTTTTATCAACCCCGACAATTGAATCCTTTGAAACGTTGAGCCATGTTTGAATGAGAACTTCATCCTCTCTTTGTTGGAACCTTTGTTTATGCGTATTCACAACCGGTGCAGGTGCAACTTCTTCACTAAGGTTAGTAGTTTCTAAGCTACCTTGAGTGCAAGATTGTGGTGTTTCACGTTCTTGATCATTTGATTGCACACCACTACTACATATTTGAGTTCCATGAGGCATAGTGGAGTTAGTTGATTGAGATGTAAATTGTTGATATTAATATGGATAAGGTGATGTATAGTATGAGTAATTTCCAAAGTGTGGATTATTTTGTGGATTTGGGATAAATTGAGAGTTTTAAAAGTTTGGGTTATGGTGTGGATTTGAGATAAAAGGTGCATTTCTAATAATGGATTGCTCTGTTGATTTGGAATAGAAGGAGGACTACCACTATTTTGTATAAAATTAGACCAAGAGCTATTTTGATTAGGATCCATTGACAAATAATGTGTAGAAGATATGATTTTTGCATATTATAAGATATGATTTTTGGAAATAAATTTGCAGGCAGAAAATGTGACACATACTGGTCCAAAAAAGCTAGTGCTATATTTCACTGGAGCAACCAATATACTATACACATTTGGTAGACCTGCTGTTACAGTGTATGTTTTTTGAATAATTTTTTAGATTTTTATAGAAGTTTCAATGTAACTATGTGACTAATTATTGCGATTATTCGTTTATCTAAATGAAAAAATAAAATTAAAAAATCAGTGAAACTATACACGCCATGTGAAAACCACAAAACTTCAAACACATATATTTGCTGGAAACTATATATGTTTTCACATTAACGATGCCTTTTGCTTCAGTTGTTTATTGGGCATTTGGTGATCAACTTCTTAATCATTCCATTGCTTTCTCTCTTCTCCATGCTGCTGTTATCCTTATGATCATTCACCAGGTAGTAAACCATTGAATAAAAAATGAATTGGCTATTAAATATGTACGAAAAAATTATTTTAATTTTTCCTACTAATAAATGTGTGTAGTTCATCACATTTGGTTTTGTTTGTACTCCATTGTACTTTGTATGGGAGAAAGTAATTGGAATGCATGATGTAAAAAGCATTTGTTTAAGGGCTCTAACAAGGTTACCAGTGGTGATACCTATTTGGTTTTTGGCCATAAATTTTCCCTTCTTTGGATCCATTAACTCTGCAGTTGGATCTCTTCTTGTTAGTTTCATTGTCTACATTCTTTCTTTAATAGCCTTTCTGGCCACCTTTAGAAATAGGATTATATACACAGGCGGTTTTATAGTCTAGTAGTTCGAGCACACGCCCAAGTTCAACCTCTATTTTCTTTGTATTTCCTTAATTTAATAGTTGATTTTTAGACAAAAATATAGTTAAAATTAGTAAAAACAGAAATAAAATTAACACATTTTATAACTATTTACATATTATATCATATATAATTTGCGGTTAATTTTTTTTGTCAAAACTACCTAAAATTTATGAATCCACAACTCATCATATATGTTTGATATTATTATTGGTATTGACCGGTTAGGTTCAGTAATATGTGTATTACTACATTTTGTAGAATGTTGCCTCCGTTTTTCATGCCAAACTGGTCAACAATGTATATTAATAATAATACATTTATTGTGGTATGGGCTTTAGTGGTTGGGATTGGTTTTGGAGAATGGGCTAGTATAACAAACTCCATTGAACAAATTGACCTATTTGGGCTTTTTGCTAATTGTTACCAATGCAACTCTCCAGCACCATCCATGGTTGTTGCTCCTCCTCCTCTCGACCCTTATCCATGAACTTACACATCAATTTTTTAGACAAAATAATTATTTTGATTTGTTTAATTCTACATTTTTTTAATTACTTGTATATGATTCATTTTTTTATTGATGAGGAAGATAATAAGTTTTAAAATTGCATTAAAGGCATTGGGGAAGAAATAAAATCTAACACTCATAATATCATTCAATTTAATTGTCAAAGATTCCATTTCATGGTCTACGAGATGGTGAATCGTTACGAGAGTCAGTCTATTGGTTATTTTAACACCGTCCTCCATAAAAGGATGTGTGACTGAGGGGAATTTCAAATTTCCATGTGTTTTTCTCACATGTTATAGCAACGTGATCTACAATACGACATGACTATTATGTGCACATACCTGATGTGTACGAATATGTTAGCATCTTTAATGTTGTATAAACATGTTAAGCTTTATTATTTAGATTCTAATATATTAGGTACTTGGTTGTGAGTTAGTAACAACATTAATTGTTCCACAAGTAATTATCATAATTGTATGCATATCTATATAAATATCTAGCTAACGATTGAATGAGAATGAGGAATACAATTTTGATCTAACAAGTGGTATCATGGCCTGGTTCTGATCCTAATCACGTTGTCATATCTCAAAATTTTCTCTCCTATTTTCATCTGGATTATGTTTCTCATTCCTCTGCATACCCTTTCATAAACTCACCACTCATTAGGTAATCATGCATTCATTCATCAGCATTTGCATATGGTAACATTATTGATTCAAATGTTCATAGTTGGATTTCAACTAGAAAAAAGGTTGGTTGTCTCAACACTTGGGTTATTCAAATGATTCTCTTGGATTAAGGTTTTATCATGTTGAATCATTAGGGTTGGTTCTCTTTTGTTATTTGTGGTACAAGTGGATACCATTGCTTCAAAGTTCATTGATCAGGGTTTTGCATCAGGTGCATTCTATGGTGCTTGCTTTTATCAGAGGAATCATAATATTGATCCAACTATTACCATCATGTGATGTGTTGCTCGTAATCAAGGGTTCAGCTATGTTTTATCATCATGTGAAGTTGTGTTTCATTTCATTACTTGTTATACAAGCCATTGGCTGGGCTTTTACCAGGATTTGGATATGCAAGATGGAATTGGGGTATTGCATTAAATAAGAAAACATTTGTCATGGTTTTGACTTTTGGTCAAAGTCAACCATAGAAGGTTGACTTTTGACCAAAGTCCTTCTTAAGACAATCTTTGGTTCTTTATCTCATTATGGTACCTATTCAAGTTGCAAATTAAAGAGATTTTGGAAATTCAAAAGTAAGCATTGGAGGGAAAATAGAAATTTCAAAGTTTGTATTTGAAGAAAGTTATTATAATTTCAAGAATGCCAAATGCCCTTACATGTTCAAGAATTCAAATGCATTACAAAATGAAAGACATATTACAAAAAATTTGAATACAAAGAAAAACCAGGTGGACCAATTTCCTAAATCCTATCCTAAAAAACTCCTTTCTTGATTTTATCTTCCACTTCAAAAAACCAAATCTCCTTCAATTTTTTTATGACCAAGTAACCTTGCACATCATGAACAAAGCCTGCTAAAACCATACATGTATACCATTCAAAAATACAACATTTAGCTCAGGTTCATTCATTCAATAAATCATCACATAATAATCATTCAGATTCATTTTCAATCTAACATTCCATTTATCAACATAATAATAACAATAGTTTTGTAGTTATACTTTAGCATATATACTTGTATGTATAATGTATAGGTTTAGCTTCTCTTGTTGTAATATATAAGCATTAACCAATGTAACAGTGTTACTACTGAGTAATAATGAAAAGCTTTTTCCAATACTTTCTCTCTTCTTGCAATATCAACATGGTATTAGATCTCAAATATGCTCTAGTGACCATTCTTTCTCCCTCTTTATGGAGTTTTCAAGATTCTTCAGTCTTTATCTTTCAATCATTTTCTTTCTGCATTTCTACTTCTTCTTCTCTGCTATGGATCACCAGAGCTACACTGATTTTGAGACGAAATCCGCGAATCCATACTATCTTTATCCAAACGAAATTCCAACCTTGATTCTTGTTGCTCCTCCATTAGACAACAAGAACTATCATACATGGTCCCGATCAATGCACATTGTATTGATTTCGAAAAACAATGATAAATTCATCGACGGATCATTTCTAAAACCCTTCGTCTCTGATCCTATGTATGCTCAATGGATTTAATGTAACACCATAGTGCTTTCTTGGATTCAATGATAAATTTTTGAATCAATTGCGAAATCGGTGCTATGAATTGATGCTGCTTCAGGCGTTTGGAAGAATCTTAGGGTTAGGTTTTCGTGAAGTGACATTTTCACATCTCAGATATTCAAGAATAACTATATCGCTTTCGCCAAGGTACACTCATGTATCTGAATAATTTACTCAATTGAAAATGCATTGGGATGAACTTGAGAACTATCATCCTCTTCCATGTTGTACTTGCTCTTTTGGCTACTCATGTGGTGTCGTTGATTATGTTAAAGCCTATCGTGAGCAAGACTATGTTATCAGGTTTTTAAAAGGGATGAACGAACATTTTGCACACTCGAAATCCCAAATCATGATGATGACACCGCTGCCTCACATTGAAAAGGAATTTTATCTTACTATTCAACAAGAACGTGAGTTGAACTATGCCTCACCAACTGATTTTGTTGATTCTGAAGTTACTTTTGTTCATGTTCTTTATAATGTTCTTTACATTCCTACTTTCCATGTCAATCTCATATTTGTCACTAAGCTCACTGATAATATGGATTGTTATCTGAATTTTTCTTCCAATGCATGTCATATTTTGCAGAACCATTCGAGGCAAATAATTGGTACAACTAAGCTGCAAAGAGGCTTCTATGTCATAGATTCAGATAAAATTGGTTCTCAATGTAATGCCCTTACTTCCAATTCTTTTGAAACCTAGCATTTCAGACTAGCGCATGCTTCTGATTCTTGTAATCATACTTTAGCTAAAAAAATTCTTCTCATTTCTTGTAATAAAAATAATATGGCACCTTGTGAATCATGTCATTATGCAAAGCATAAAAGTTACCCTTTCCTACTAGTACCACCCTTATTCATGCTCCTTTTAATATCATATATGTTGATTTATGGGGTCCTTTCGCTACTGCATCCATCCAAGGTCATAAATACTTCCTCACACTAGTACTAGTAGATGATTTCTCAAGATTCACATGGATCATTTTTCTCAAAACTAAAACAGAAACCAAGCAAAGTATTATTCACTTTATTGCTTTCCTAGAAAATCAGTTTAATACTACTCTAAAATGTCTCAGGTATGACAATTGCTCTGAGTTCTTAGCCTTAAGCTCTTTCCTTTTGTCTAAGGGTATCTCTCA